TCTTCTTCAAATGCAATAGCCTAAAGCAGGAGTGTCAAACTGCCAGCCCACGGGCTGGATGTGTCATGGCAAAACCACGCCCACCCCATTGCTGGCAATGGAAAAAAAGTTGTGATACGTCGTGACACATCACGTGACATTGTGGGTTTGACACCCCTGGCCTAAGGGATTGGTTGAGTGGGGAGTATATAGGGAGAATGACATCTCTTAGGTTTGAGAATATACGTATACATATTAACATTTCAACATTTCCAGCTTCTAACATTTAAATAGATTCATATTATGTAAATCATCATGAATTCAATAGATTAACTAACTCCTATAAATATAGGTATGAAAAGTGTAGGATTAAGATTATATTTTAACTATCTTATTACAGCTTTATGAGTTAGAAAATGGTTTGTTATTAACTTATGGCATTTTGCCTAGCATTTTTGTGAAAATAAAGGCCTTTGAGGTAGCAATATGTACAAAAGCTACATTTCTTCAGCTCTTTATTGCAGACTTCCCTATGTTTTTCCTTCCTTTTCACTGTTACCAAATACTGCTTTGTTAGCTAAATGCATTGTTCCCAAGCAAATCATCTGATTTTCTGATGGTTAACCAAGGAAACTAAAACCTGTAGATCTGTAGAAATACAGACTGTATTTCAGCCCATTTTAAAAAAGAAATGATCAATTTCTTAGCCTATATCCCTATATGGGCCTAACTATAGCATAAGTGTAGTCTGGCAACATCTTTTTTCTGCTGTGTTCCCTGAAATTGTTCTCATCTACTCCACAGCTCTTGAGTAAGTAAGGCTTAAGTCAGCCTTAGATATACCAGGATTAAAATAGTGTTCTTTCCTTAACTCTAACTCTACCAAGGGCAGTCTCAAGATGTTTGAAATCTCTTAAGCTTTATTATATTTTATCTTAGAAGGAAGTCAGATGATTGGCAATGACTTAAAAGAGAGGTCACAGACTAAGGGAAAGGATTGGCAATAAGAATAGCCTACTTAGATGTGGGTAAAAAGCATTCTAATTCAATAATGAGGTAAAGCCAAATTTTGGGAAAACTCTTGCACATATCAGGTTGCTTTCTTGAGAATAAAAATCGGAAAACGATATAAGGCACATATAATTTAAATCTCAATTTTGCCAGGACAACTGGAATGAAGCTCATCAACAGATAATCAGAAAAAATGTCACAGAATTATATGGGTCTTTTTTTCAAGTCTCAAGAACTCTTGTGAAATTTCCCCATTATCATAGGTAAAAATTATATGGTTGGGAATACGTCCTGTATTAAGTTATAAAGTGATTGGCTTTGGTTTTACTTAGTATAATATGTAAACCCAGACAACTGTTTGTAAACTATGTTTCACATTATTGTATGAATTCAACCAATTGTGGCTACATAAAGTATATTTAGTACAACTTAGGATCCCAGTCTATGTTTGGGATATTTTACTAAGTTTAATTCTAAATAGAATTGCCTCCCATTTTAACATTTGGAGCTATCATTAACCACATTCAAGGGAAAGAAACTCTTCATTTGTGTCTCCACACCTTTTATTTACATACACCATTCTGCCCATCTCATCCTGTGTCTGATAACAGGAATAATAATATTGGTCTGTTTGACAACACTACATATCTTGAGAAATTCCAACTCGTTAAGATATTACTGTTCTTTTATATACAAATACCACACTGTTTTATTACTCTATCTTTAGATTCAGTTCAAGGTTTGAATTTTCCACTTTGGTAAATAAATAACTGAATGATTCAAGGCCTTTGTTACAGTATTTATTTAAAGATCAAATTACAGCACATTTTACTATCAAATAGAGTGATATTCTCCATCAAAAGTATTAATTTTCCCTTCACATTCTTTGAGGGAAATTAGATAGCTGAAACTTAGGTTTGGCCAAAAAACATAATGTATACACATGTGCCTTACCATCCTAATCCTCTTCCCTTCTGTTATCATTTGGGAAACATCTCTCACATAGATTGTGTTAATCCTTCCTTCCTTCCTTCCTTCCTTCCTTCCTTCCTTCCTTCCTTCCTTCCTTCCTTCCTGATACTTGGTCCACTTCCTGATAAATAGTTGCTGTGGTTGGCAAACCTTTCCAGCCATTGGATAATATGGCCTAAGTGTCTCTGGCTGTTATCATTCTTTTCAAGTCTTTATTAGTCTTTATTAGACTAATGCTCTTTATCAATCGCTTAAAATCTGTCTACAACTTTACCTTGAGATGTAGATTGTCAAGTGGCATTTTGCTAGAAAACAGAAAACCATTAGATTAAGCTGTGTGGCTCTTGGAGAAATGCCTTCCATTCTATCCAAGCCCATTGCTTTTTCCGCAACATCAACACCTATCTATAAACATGAATATCAGTGACAAGCCCACTGATAGCAGCTATCTCTCTGCATTTTACAAACATTTCTTAATAAGAATGATTTGACCAAAGTTATTGAAAAATAAGCTCCCTAGATTTCAGTAGGATGGTGTGCCATGCCTTACTTCTTCCTACTAAAATCAATGGAAGTTAAAAATACTGAGTATCAATTTCTTGTACCAACAGGTTTTATTAATTTGTTGCAGTAAAAAAATATTTCAATTTTTTTTAAAAAAACTTTCTGGCTCCTACTCCAAAAAACAGAAGAGTAGGAACAACTCGCCTAAAGTAGCTAAAGCAACAGCAAAATCTATGCAGCTTAAACAAAAATCCATAATTTCATAGCATCTCCTGTATATCCCGGCTTGTAAACTAGCTGGGCTGAAGTGTGGGCCATAGTTTCATGAGCTACTTTGTTGAATGTACTTAAATCTGGCTCTCGAGGCTGTCATTTCCCCATCAGCACAGTCATGCTTGACAAACCAGGCATATTTAAAAATGGGAGCATAAACCTATCAATCTTTCATATATTGTTTGGTTTAAGAGTTCGTGGATACTCTTGGTGTATTTATGTGATTTTAGATAGCAAATTAATTTAAAAAAACTGTTCCTTTATTATGAAATCATGATTGAGAATCACAGCTTTTAACTGCAAGTAAAGCAATATTCTGTTATTGCCCAGTTCTGGAAAGATAATTGTCAAAGGAAATCTGTTGCCAGATTGAGCTAAAACAGACTTACAGTATATAGTTTCTATCTGGTAAGATACAACAACATGATGGTGTTCTAATTGGCCAAGGAGTGCTTGCATGTGTAAAGGCTGGAGTGTTGGTTTGACTAAGAGATGCATGTTCAGATGAAGCAGACTATGAAGTGTCTTGGAACAAATCATTATCTCAGCCTGATCTATATACAAAGTTGTTGTGAGGCTAAAATTATTCTGAATTCCTTAGAAGGTCAATGTTGCTTTAAGCAAAATTTAGCAAAGCTCATGTTCTGAAATGTTAAATAAACATGTTTTGTTTTCAAAAGATCATAAATTCCAGATTTAATTGTGCAAGCTACACTTGACAGTGTAATCTATGATAACATGTACCTGTTTCAATTAGTAAACCACACATTTCTGAGAAACAAGATGAAACCTCCACATGAAAGGGTAGTGAAGTAATTACTACAAGGCTTGATTAGATGCAAGAGAAGAATGTTCATATATCAGTGCAGGTCACTCTATAACCTTGGGGCAAGGTGCTAATATTCAGTGGCATCAACTCTGCACGTAATGAGGGTTTTTACCAGTATGGTTGATAAATAAAATTTTAACACTTTTTAAAAAATAGTACTAAACAAGTAAAGAAATATTTCCTTTCAAAATAAAGTAGGATAACAAAACAGGCCAGTAATTAAATGCAGGCATAGTATGCAGAACATCTTAGGACCAATCACTGGCATCTCATGTTTAAATGAGTGATAGAAACGGAGATAGCAAATATTGCCAAATACAGCAGAAAAGGTGAACCTAAACAGGAGTTTAACCTGCATAACTTTACAGCTTCTGATGAAAAGCATGTGCTGCTTACTAGTTGCAATATTTATTCTTAGCATTCAAGCCTTTAAATACAGATCACAGAGCCAGAAATCAGATCATTCAGGGAGAGCGCTAGTAGCACTGGCACAAAAACACTCTAGCCTTAGAAATCTTAATAGATTGCATCTTAAAATTCTAATTCTTGTGTCCATAAAGCTGTAAGATACCAGAAGTCAATTTGCAAGCAATATATTACACAAATAAGTCAACACATCGTCATCAAATGCAGTTTAGTATTCATACCAATTCATAAAAGGTGAGGGTTTTTTATTATATTAACTTGGTGCTTCTCTTATACATAAATTGGTTTATTGCTCTACTTTGGTGTCTCCAAGAGTCAGTGGAAAACTTTCTCCCTTTCAGTCTCTTGCCTATTTTCTTTTGCACAGTATCACTTTTATTTTCTTTGCCCCTTTCTTTGGTGGGACTTAAATCAAATGGAAAGTATGGATTCACAACATTATGTAAACATATTTGAAATCCAATTTGCAAGGAGCAGTTTAAAAAAAGGAAAGGGAAAAAATATTTTTCTAAGAAATGCCTCCAAATTCTTTACAAAAATCAATCCAAGAAATTGCAATGATCATTTGGCAGATACAAGAAATAAAAGACTTTAATGATAAACAAAAAATTAAAAGTTCAAAGACAAAGAAAGTCACGTATGTTAAGTCAAACATTTGAAGAGGGGAAAAATATATGGGTGTTTAAAATATGGCAGAGGGGTAAGACAAGCTTTAAAAACAGTACATCATTTTAAAGGGAGAAAAACAGAATAAGATTAAGCAAAGGAAAAATTAGTTAGGAGGTGGATGTCCAAAAAAGAAGTAAAATCAGTTGTTTGATTCCACACTGAAGACAGAGCAAACAAACCAAAGGGGGGGAGGGGAAGCTAGTCTCTTTTAAAAAACAAAAACAAAAAACACCAAAACCAAAACTAACACAACAAAAAAAAATAATATTTTCAGAATCACTGAAAAAAGTAAATGGAGGAAAAGCAATTGGAGAGAGAAGGAAAAAAAAATACTCACCAAGCAAGAAAATTTTCAGAAGTAAAAATGTCAAAGAAGAAGTGAATGAAAGACAGGGAAGGAGGAAAGAGAAAGAGTGCCACCACCAAGACAGACAATAGCAGCCCTGCAGCAGCCCAAAGCTACCGCTCTTTGGCCGGGTAAGCAGCCGCCACCGCCGCCAACTCTACCAAGCCGCGAACACACTGGCAGGGCTGAGATTCCTGGCGCTCAGATGCCTTTCAGCAGAACGCACCATTCCCAGGGCCGGGAGGGGGTCGAGAGAACGCAGACCTCTGCAGCTTCCAGGCTTCGTTGCGGGGGGAAACTCCGCAAAGCAAGCCCGCGAAGGACTCTTCAAAAAGATGGAGGGGAATTTGCTGGAAGAAACGAGAGGGCCTCATAGGTGGGCGTCAAAGGTCCTAACTCTGCAAAACACCCCGTCTTCCCCCTATGCCTAATTTTGAAAAAGTCCGTTCCTGAAGATACAAGGCGGTGGGGAGGGAGCCGGGCGGAGAAAAGGAGACAGAGATTTATTCTCTGAGCGCGGCTTGAGACGATTCCTCGGACTTAGTTAGCAGTGAGGGAATCGCCGTTTCAGCCTCAAGCCCTGTCAGTTCTTCCGCTGTGTCTTTTCTGTAACACGAGGATTGGTGAAGCGTCGGACCTTGAAGCGGGCAGAGCTGGTGGCCTGACGACCGGGGGACGAAAAGCTGCAATGCCCCCTGCGAAGGAGGGTCTGGTCTTTCGGAGAGCGGGGAGCGATGTCGAACTCCTCGAGATTGTAAAAACGCTGTAAAAGAGCAGCCTTTTAAGTGGTATTGTGCAACACCACCGCCCCCCCCCCAGCAAAAACTACGATACATTTTTCAACCAATCCTAATTCAAAAAGAAAATTTGGGAGAAAGTCTCAGAAGTGGCATTCTTGCTCTTATCATTTGTTACGAGTAGGCAAGAAGGAAACCCAGGTTGATACCGAAATGACAAAGGATGCGTTCTAGCACCACAGTATAAACTGCCAACATTTTTTTCTATAACTGGTGCCACTGCTGACATATACGCACTCACGGGAGGAATTTGCCACATGACATAATCAACTGCTTAGATATAACAGGAGTCAGTAGAAACATCAGAAGCTTTGTGCAGAGATCACTGGCAAATACTGCTGCTGGTCAATGATGATAGACTGGGAGAGGTTAATATCAAGAGAGGAATATTTCAAGATGACTCAATATCACCACTGTTTGTTATTGCGCTTTGAAGTTTGAAGCTATATGGAAAAACACCATCTGAAACAGAATTGCTGCTCAATATTGTGTATACACAATATGTGTGTGTGTGTGTGTGTGTGTGTGAGAGAGACAGAGAGAGAGAGAGAGAGAGAGAGAGAGAGAGAGAGAGAGAGAGAGAGAGAGAGAGAGAGAGAGATCAAATAGATAACCTCACCATCAACAGGAGAAAATAGTGAAAATTGAAGGAATCAAGATGCCCTATGAAAATAACATCAAGAGTCTGCATGAAGATGATCACTACAAATCCTTGGGCATCTTTAAGCTGATAACATCAAGCATACTGAAGTCAAGAAGAAAGCTAGAAGGGAATACCATCATGAAAGTGAAGAATACTTTAAAGTCCAAACTGTCCATCAAGACAGTTAATATCTGGGCAATTCCAGTCTGCACAGACTGACTACAAACAACTGCATGATAAAGTAGCATGGGAAATAACAAATAATGCTTTGGCATAGAAAAGAAGAGAAAGAACTGGAGAAGATCAGTAACTGAAATAAAATGACTATGGCAAAAGAAAGCAAAGGTAGTACCAATAATAATAGGTGCCTTGGGTGCAATTCCAAAATAATTGGAGCACCACTTGAACACCATCAGCATTAACAAATCACTTCCAGCCAATTGCAAAAAACAACTTTACCCAGAACAGTTTACATCCTCTGATGATCACTTGAACATCACCAAACATCTCCCTCTCCCTTGGGAAGGACTGGATAGGTGGGTAAAAATGCCAAATTCAGGCTAAACATCTCTGCTTTGCAACCAATTGTAATAATTCAGTCCTCTCTCTCCAGTCATCTGTAATTTGCCTGGCTTCCTGCACTACCAATAACTCTTAGAGGGATGGAAGAGACATAACAGAAAACTGCAGCAAAAGCGTTTTCTGCTACCTTAAATAAATAAATAAAACCCTTGAACACTCTGGAATAAAGAAAATAAATAAAAAGTAGCAGAAGAAAACAAGAAATTTTAAGATAGATTTTTGACACAAATTGCTATTAACTTTGTTTGAAGAAAGTTAATAGATTCAGACTAAGAAGAAGATACTGTAGAGCTTTATGAAGATCAGAAACAGACATATTTACAGTGTTGGGCTGGGATGGATATTTGGTATTTATGGCACTGTAGATATCTTGGATGAACAGATTCTTCATCCCAAGAAGCGTTTCCAAAAGTCGTTTATGATTAAGATGGAAGTAGAATTCAGGCTTCAGGACTTCTTAATTACTACACAGACTTGCTCTTCTAGATGGTGGGAGTGGGTGTGGGTTTCTGTGTGTTTTGGAATACAGACTTCAAATTCTAAATGTTGTTAATTTTAATGAGAAGAATGGAATGGAACGGAACAGAATGGAACAGAACAGGATCAAATTCTAGAATCTAGAAATCTGCAGTTTTCTTATTTTCTGCTGGAAAAGCAGGCAAAAATATGGTAAATTTCCCCACTAATTAGAATCTGTTTAAAGTTGCACAGTTTTCTATATAATTGTATTATATGATTGTGCCATATTTACCGGCATTAGTCTACAAACAAAGGCATTGTTAAGGAAAACTGGAATTGGGTTTCCCCAACCTAGTGCCTTTCAGATGTATTTCGGTATAATTTTTATCATATCATTGCCTGTACTTATCATGGATGACGAGAGTTAAAATCCATCCTACTTTGAGGAACCAGTTGAGGAAGGCTGGCTTATAAATTGTAAAATCCACAGCTGGCCTGTAATTCTAGATTTACATACATGACAATAAATACTACTGAAATCAGGAGGTCTTACTTCAGGATAGGATTACCTAAAGTGGTGTAACTCAGTGTCAGATGGGAAATTTGGATGGCATTTTGATTTCTTGTCATTTTTCATTAAACTCCCTTAACATTGAAGATTGTAAAATAAATCAAAACAAATATTTTTAAAACTTTTTTTTCCATCCTAAAAATATTTGGGGCTTCAGTCTCTCTTTATTTTTCTTTGGTGATACAACAAAGAGGTACTATGTTGATGAAATCCCTTTCCCTTTCTTTTTAATGAATTTTTTATATTCTTCAGGTGCAGAATGAATAACAATAAACCAAACCTTGTCAAAGAAGAGAAATTCATTCCCAAATGTTACTTAGCAGCAAATTTGCAACACAACAATAAGTTCTTCCATATACTGTATATATTCATATTCCAATAAAGATTTTTTTTATTTTTCAACTTCCAATACATATTACAATTATTTGTTCTACACGAACAGTGAAGTCACTCTGGGGAGTGAATAAATAAGGACTGTTTTGCACATATGGTTTTTCTAATAACATAGGAAAGAAAAATGTCTTGGGGTGCTGTGAAAAAGATAAGGGTGAACTTGGCTTCCAACATCACAGATTACCTTACAGAACTGTAATAAAATATTGATTTCCATTCCAGAATATTGAATTGGAATCTCCCAGAAGGCACACAAGTGGCTTTTGTTAGATATTGGTATAATTTTAATGCTTAACCAATGAGTCTGCACCCAATGATATACTTGTGCTTCACATTTAGGTAACTACAGTACTGTATTGGCAAACAAATTAATAAAAGTACATTGTCCAACCTTACATTTTCTTGTTGTTAAACATAGATTAAACATTTATATGGCACAGTAATAAAATAGGTTATAGCTTAGGGGGAGAAAAAAACTGGTATTATGTGAATGTTATCCTAGCATAATATTTGATGGATAAAGTATGCAAATGAGAGAAATTACCAGGCAGTTATTGTGTTACATTAGCTTGCTTGGAATTGGATTACAAATTATATACCAAATACATTGTATTAATATTCTGAAATTATTGTCTATGAAATGAGTCAAACTTGTGTACTTTCATGAAACTTTAAACATGTTTGAAAATGCAACTATGCAGGTAACTGTGCAATTTCTAATTATCCTATTTGAACACCAAATGTGAATGGCTCCCAGTTCCAATATAATGTGATAATTTCAAGATTCCACAACTTCTATGACCAACCTTAGGCTAAGTTTAAGTGAAATTAAGTCTTCTCACAAAGATGTTGTTATGTGATAGGATGGAAGCTACAGCTCTCTAAAGAAAAATCTCAGCACCTTCCCTAAATCATGCATCCCTTAATTTCTTGAGTTAGGCTGTGCCAGTTGAATGGCTATGAGAGCTCCTTTTTTTTCCTTTTGGATACTATTTGAATTTTCATTGGAAGTCATCAATGTCATTCAAAGTCATTCCATTTTCATTCAGAGTCATCTTTGGTTCTACTGGTATTAGTGTTTTCCTTTACAATAAAATATCCAATGACAGTTGCAAGGGTGTTTTATATCCATCAGTATATAACAAATGAAATTAGGTGACCTGCAATGGCTGGAATCAATAAGACAGTTCTCAGTGTTGCAGGCTGATGAAGCTACACCCCTCCACTCAATTTCCTGAATCAGTCTCCCAGGCTGCTTTTCTGTTGTTATCCCCCTAAAGAGCTGAAACCAAAAGGGCTGTGTCAGGAGAATATCAGAATTGCAAAATAGTGCTAGACTGCTCAGCAGACATTACTATATGTACTTTAGGGATTTTTCTGATGTAGGGCAAGGTTATAATTGTATAACAGTTTAATGGTAAGACTAATCTCTGATTCTCAAACACAGCACAAAGGATTGTCTATGGAGGTTCTCAGTCATCCAAGTCATGGTTATCACAAAGGTGCTTTTTCAGAAGGCAACTGGATGTTCTTGTTTTTGAAACAAGAAAGTCCAGTTGCTTCCTGAAAAAGCACCTTTGGGACAGCACAAAGGATTCTTGAACTTTTCATTTGTTACCCATATAACATAAAAGAAGAGCTGAATATTATTTGTGAATCTGATCTCTCTTTTTAAAACTTTGATGAATTGATTGGCTCTTGGAGATGGGACAGAAGAAACAGCATTGACATAGTAGGCAAAGTCCTGCAGCTGAATCTGTCCCATATCTGTTTAGTGTTATGATTAGCAGATGTGGATGATATGCAAAAGAAGGAAGACTGCCAAGCTACAGGGTTTGATAAATTGCTATCATAAATTTCTATCATATATGGTACATTTATAATCAGTACAGAGAATTGTGTTTCACCTACTTTGGGAGGCAACAGAAGGATGATAGGGATCAGCTGTGGGAAAAGTACATTTCAAGGCTTTCTGGTTTTGGGGTGTTGGAAGTGGGGAAGGACCATCTTTCTTTTTTCTTCTGGACTAAACCTAGCTAAGCTTAACATAATAATAGAATTGGAAAGGACCTTGGAAGTGTTCTAGTCCAATCTCTGCTCAGGCAGAAAATCCTATTTCTCCTTGGTTCTACACTGGTTTTCTCCTTGATTATTTTTGATTATTATTGATGATTGATTACTTCACTGGGCAGGATCAACAAACATAGAAGATATGAATGAGACCTTCCAAACAGTGATATCATGTAACTACAAATTAAGGAAGTGAAACCTGTGTGGAGCTCAGGCTTTTTTCCAACTTGATATTCTCTGCTGGGACTGTGTTGGCCACTCCAGCTAGAAATTCTAAAATTTGTAGCTTCAACA